CCCCCACTTTTTTCTTGGCTCTCCTCCCTATCCCACACCCTCCTCCCTTTGCCACTTACCCTTTCACGCTGTTACAACTTAAAAAGTCGTAAATAGGATAAAATGCCCTGGCCCCTAAAGGGCACTTACATGCTGTCTGGGGGTAAAAAAATACTTGAGAAAGACCGTGACTTGGGTCAGCATGTACTTGTACAAATTAAGCACGAGTGTAAATAATTAACGTTGTATTAGGTTAGGTTAGGTAAGGTTCGTCAGGAAACAGGACAAATGTTTCCTGACGCGGGTCTTAGTCAGATGATGACCCGCCTTTGGAGCTTTTGGTCATCTGACCGAGGCCTTCCGCTGGCTTCCCGGGTCCACCCCTTTAAAAATTATGGTCATTTATAACCATTGTTCTATTTTGTATTATGGAAGTACACAAAAACTCACCCATACAAAAATATATATAATATAATAATAGTAACTTACATGCAACTTAGAATCTACTTCTAAAAAAGCACCACACTACAGTTCACATTAGCTCACAAGCTCACTTCTACTAACGAGTTGAACAAAATAAATGAACATTATGAACAGGGAGCTCCACCCAGTTAGTTTAATATGTTTATTATGCACCCATCCCCACCCTGTGGCGGTAGTCAAAAGATTACAGAGGTACATAATTGGTCCAGGGACTGGACTCCAAAGTTTTGATAGCTGAGCAAGTTACAGAGGTAATGAATTCACAATTTACAAAGGTAATGAACTCACAATTTACAAAGGTAATGAACTCCGGGTAGATCTAGTCACAATCATGACAAGTTACAAAGGTATTTACAGATTACAGAGGTACGTAATGGATCCAGGGACTGGGCCCCAAAGTTTGGATGGCTGAACTGGGTAAAAGGTAATGAGCTCACAAGTTACAAAGGTAATGAATACTGTAAGAATGGTTACTTACGTTTATACATGGCTACATCACACCCCTCTTTCTGCAGGCTACATAGCCTACAGTGGAAACGTTAAATACTGTACAAAACACAGGCCCCTGTATACTAGGGCCTTATAATTAAACACGAGAGCACTTAAACACAAACATCTATAGTATACACTAAAAAAATTACCAAAATTACCTACTCAAACTACCGTCCAAACTTGAATTTACCTCCATCACCAGCCGTCTGGTACTTAACTAAACACACCTCTCATCTGCTCCTTCTGGCCACTTTTCTGACTGACATGAAAAACGCGTTCGTTTTCAGGAATAATACAAGCCCCTTTCCCCCGAACTACACGGAAGTGATATTAATATGAGCGTTATTCTATATAAATATTTTTTTTTTTACAGTACTCAGTAACACACACTATCCTAGGCTATGCGACCCTATCCTAGCCTATCCTACACTTGTCTAGGCTATCCCAGTTAATCCTACCCTATCCCACACTATCCTAGGCTATTCCAGCCGATGCTTGCCTATCCCACACTGTCTTAGGTTATCCTAGCCTTTGCCACACCATCATAGGCTATTCTAACATATCCTAAAGTATCCTACAATATCCTAGGCTGTCCCAGTCTATCCTAGCCTATCCTAAACTATCCTATGCTATTTCCACCATCCTAGGCTATCAAAGTTCATCATAGCCTATCCCACACTACCCCATTCTATCCTAGCTTATCCACTATCCTAGGCTATTCCAGGCTATCCTACCCTATCCTGCACTATCCTAGGCTATTGCAGCCTATCCCACAGTATCCTAGGCTATCCAAGTCTATCTCACACTATCGTAGGCTATCATAGCCTTTGCCTCACTTTCCTATTCTTTCCTAGCCTATCCCACACTATCCTATGCTATCCGAAGCTATCCTTGCCTATCCCACAGCATTTAAGGCTATCCTAGTCAATCTTAACCTATCCCACAATATCCTATGCTATCCCAGTCTACCCTAGCTTATCTTACAATGTCCAATGTTTTCCTTGCCTATTCCCCCCACTCTATCCTAGACAATCCCAGCCTATCCTAGCATATCCTACACTATCTTACTCTATACCACCCTATCCCTTACTATCTTAGGCTATCCCTGCTTATTCTAGCCTATCCTACACTATCCTAAGCTATCCAAGGTTATCCCAGCCTTTTCCCCATTATCCTTGGCTATCTTAGCCTATCACACGATATACTAGGTTTAACCACCCTATCCTAACCTATCCCACACTCTCCTAGCCTGTCCCACACTATCTTAGGCTATTTCAGCCTATGCTAGCCTATCCCATAAAATCCTAGGATTTCCTAGCTTTTGCCACACTATCCTAGGATATGTTAACCTATCCCACACTACCCTAGGCTATCCTAGCCTATCATAGCTTATCCCACACTATCCTAGGATATCCCAATCTTGGCCACACTATCCTAGCCTATGCAAACATATCCCTCACTATCCTAGGGTAGCCTAGCCTATCCCACACAATCCTAGGCTATCCCAGCCTATCCTAGTCAATCCCACACTCTCATAGCCTATCCCAAACTATTCTATGCTATCCCAGTCAATACTAACCAATCATTCGCTGTCTTATGCTATTCCACACTATCCTAGGCTAGCCTAGCCTATCCCACACTATCCTAGGCGATCCCAGTCTATCCTAGCCTATCCCACACTAGCCTAGGCTATCGTAGACTATGCTACATTGTCATAAATTATCCAAAGGTATCCCACACTAACCTAGGCTATCCTAGACTATCAAAGATTATTCCACACTATCCTAGGCTATACTAGCCTATCCTAGATTAACCAACACTTTCTTATACTATCGTAACCTATCCCATACTATCCTAGCTTATACCACACTATCCTAGGCTATCCCAGCCTATCCTAGCCTATCAAGACTATTCCACTTCTTGACAATTCAGTGACTAATGAAATGCTTCCTAACATCCTTGTGACTCATATGTGTGTGTGTGTGTACTCACCTATTTGTGGTTGCAGGGGTCGATTCATAGCTCCTGGCCCCGCCTCTTCACTGATTGCTACTAGGTCCTCTCTCTCCCTGCTCCATGAGCTTTATCAAACCTCGCCTTAAAACTATGTTGGTTCCCGCCTCCACTACGTCACTTTCTAGGCTATTCCACGGATGTTAGGAGTATTTCTTCAGTCATAGAGTACTATGACTGAAGAAATACTTCTTAACATCCCTTTGATTCATCTGAGCCTTCAACTTCCAATTGTGACCTCTTGTTTCTGTGTCCCATCTCTGGAACATCCCGTCTTTGTCCACCTTGTGTATT